CGCTGCCCGAGGGTCTGGATCTCGAATGGCGGAGCTGGCAGGAGCGACAGAGTCACAGATCCGACGGTTCGGGCGCTGGAATGCTGGTGCCATGGAGGGGTGCTACTTGACAGCGTTGCCTCGTGACGCCATGCACTCACTTGCTGGTTTTCCCCCGGACCGGCGCTCGTTTTTTTCTGGAACGAGCTGCTCTGATTCCTCCTGAAAGTCTTCAGCGCGAAGTGTTCCCGTTTGTTGAAAACTACATGGTTGTATGCGTAAAGAATCAGCACCTCACATATCAACTGGTGGGTTTTTGGAATTGCTACTGTACCTTCGGGTGGTCGTCCTCCAGGACGCAGTGCTGCTGCGCGAAGTGCATCCAGCCCACAAGTGGTGGGGGAACCCTCCGTTCAACACGACTGCGTTTAACGCATTTGCGACTGCCCTCAAAGCAGAGGAGCAAACACTCATCCGCACCCGAGAAACAATCTGATCAAAGCGCTGCTATCATCGCTCAAGCGCGAGAAGCATGAAAAAAATAAACGTGAGTTCGTAGATCGCGGTGTTGGATCGTTGCTGGATGGGTATTGTACGACTGATGATCTGGTGGCAATCTCTCGCTATTACATGAATCTTAACACCGGCAGTGATTTACGGAACCGTATGAGCCATTTTCTGTGTCATTCGTGTTTATTACGAGACGAGTCTGCGCGCAATTTGGAGCTACCTGACTTGTTCAGTGTGGAGCTCGAGCACGAAGGTTTCACGGATTGCCGTGCGCTCGTGATGATCATGGAGCAGGGAAAGACCAACCAGTATGGGCGTCGCGACTTTGGTTCGTGCATCCGACACCGCAATGTCGAGGTTTGCCCTATTGGTGCCCTCGGTCTCTATCTCTTTTTTCGGTGGAGCGTTCAATTGGAACCTGTTCCTAATTTCCTGGAGCCTGCATTGTGGTATAATGTCAAAGTTCTCACTCAAGGCAGGAAAGATTACAACAAAAGCGATGACATATCGAGCGCATTACGACGCTACTGTAAAAGCCTTTTCTGCTCTTGGTCTACACTCGAAGGCGAAGACCCACGCTGCCCGAGGGTCTGGATCTCGAATGGCGGAGCTGGCAGGAGCGACAGAGTCACAGATCCGACGGTTCGGGCGCTGGAATGCTGGTGCCATGGAGGGGTGCTACTTGACAGCGTTGCCTCGTGACGCCATGCACTCACTTGCTGGTTTTCCCCCGGACCGGCGCTCGTTTTTTTCTGGAACGAGCTGCTCTGATTCCTCCTGAAAGTCTTCAGCGCGAAGTGTTCCCGTTTGTTGAAAACTACATGGTTGTATGCGTAAAGAATCAGCACCTCACATATCAACTGGTGGGTTTTTGGAATTGCTACTGTACCTTCGGGTGGTCGTCCTCCAGGACGCAGTGCTGCTGCGCGAAGTGCATCCAGCCCACAAGTGGTGGGGGAACCCTCCGTTCAACACGACTGCGTTTAACGCATTTGCGACTGCCCTCAAAGGAGAGGAGCAAACACTCATCCGCACCCGAGAAACAATCTGATCAAAGCGCTGCTATCATCGCTCAAGCGCGAGAAGCATGAAAAAAATAAACGTGAGTTCGTAGATCGCGGTGTTGGATCGTTGCTGGATGGGTATTGTACGACTGATGATCTGGTGGCAATCTCTCGCTATTACATGAATCTTAACACCGGCAGTGATTTACGGAACCGTATGAGCCATTTTCTGTGTCATTCGTGTTTATTACGAGGCGAGTCTGCGCGCAATTTGGAGCTACCTGACTTGTTCAGTGTGGAGCTCGAGCACGAAGGTTTCACGGATTGCCGTGCGCTCGTGATGATCATGGAGCAGGGAAAGACCAACCAGTATGGGCGTCGCGACTTTGGTTCGTGCGTCCGACACCGCAATGTCGAGGTTTGCCCTATTGGTGCCCTCGGTCTCTATCTCTTTTTTCGGTGGAGCGTTCAATTGGAACCTGTTCCTAATTTCCTGGAGCCTGCATTGTGGTATAATGTCAAAGTTCTCACTCAAGGCAGGAAAGATTACAACAAAAGCGATGACATATCGAGCGCATTACGACGCTACTGTAAAAGCCTTTTCTGCTCTTGGTCTACACTCGAAGGCGAAGACCCACGCTGCCCGAGGGTCTGGATCTCGAATGGCGGAGCTGGCAGGAGCGACAGAGTCACAGATCCGACGGTTCGGGCGCTGGAATGCTGGTGCCATGGAGGGGTGCTACTTGACAGCGTTGCCTCGTGACGCCATGCACTCACTTGCTGGTTTTCCCCCGGACCGGCGCTCGTTTTTTTCTGGAACGAGCTGCTCTGATTCCTCCTGAAAGTCTTCAGCGCGAAGTGTTCCCGTTTGTTGAAAACTACATGGTTGTATGCGTAAAGAATCAGCACCTCACATATCAACTGGTGGGTTTTTGGAATTGCTACTGTACCTTCGGGTGGTCGTCCTCCAGGACGCAGTGCTGCTGCGCGAAGTGCATCCAGCCCACAAGTGGTGGGGGAACCCTCCGTTCAACACGACTGCGTTTAACGCATTTGCGACTGCCCTCAAAGCAAAAATGGTCACTGAGGTGTCACCGCAAGCAACGCGCCTGAGGAAGTAGTGCCTGACTTGATGGGTCATATAAACCAGCAGCACCTACAAACGATAGCGCACATTGACAACAAGTTTAGTGAGGTTGGTGCATGAGTTAAACACTTGACAGGAACGTTCACACAACTCACCTCGGGCGCCGCTGCGGTACGGCTGAGTGTCAACTGGCCTGGAACGACAGGTACTCCATCCACAACCACCACCACCTTACCAGATTCATCGATCCCGGTGACCTACAAGATGGCGAGGTCTCTGAAGACCGTACATCAAGTCTGGCAAGAATGGTCTGCCGGAATTCATGGTGGTCCCGCTGTGCGTAACCTCGAAGAAAGCCATGGCTCGACCTGGCGCAGCGCACCACCAGAAAAACGGTTTTTTTTCTTTCGGCGAAAGAGAATCATCGATCATATCATAACAACAGCTCAAGCGCAATGTATTACTCACGAGCAAGCGGTGTGTGCGCTCGAGGCACACCGAACACAGCACAAGCTTACACTTAATGCACTTAGCGACAGTCTAAAAGGAAAACTATAGATCACATAAAGAAGTGCACAATCGGTAATACATCGTTGTATATCATCGCCACAAAAATTTCGGACGTACACTTGCACCCCACCTTGCGTGCCCCTTACTCACCTCAGATCTGCCTTGAGATGGGCGGTCAACTCCTCTTCCAAGGCTACGCCGTCCTCCAGGTGACACGAGGCGGTTCTCAGTTTTTCGGCGACGACATGCCATTCTAGAAATGACTTGGAGTTTGTATCGGATGCTGATTGGTGGATGACTTGGATACGGTGCGGCTGTACCCGTGTGACATGGATGGTGACTGTGGGAGAGAAGTGATTTCTCGGGATGAATCAAACGCCTGACCGCAGATGGGCCCAACTGGCTGGAAGTGTGAATCCTGGGAGTGCACGACCAGGATTTCAGAGAACACTCAGTCCAGCCGCGGACTTTCCCTTACGATGAGTGCCTAAAGTCTGGCGGAAAGTGTCTCTGGAGAATGTATCCCAGAGTACACCTCATCTTGCTTTGGCTCAGAGCGCCCCAGAGGATCAAATTACCCTGAGAATCAACCCACTACCACCATGATCATGCGCAGGAGGCCGCTAAACCCGCTAAAAGTGTGGTTTTGTGGAGATACATGCGAGCCTGCAATGCAGCAGCCTTGTTACCCAGAGTGCCGCACGGAAAACCTAGAGTGTCGCACGATGACCCAGAGTTCACATCCCTGAGTGCAGGTGACCCAGAGTTCCAAAGATGATTCCCTGGGTTTGGACCATAAATCCAGACTCTCTATACTGAACTTAAGTGTTTCCCGAGCCAACACCCAAGAATCCCTACGGTTCCCCAAGATTCCTCAGAATTCCCAGGATTTCAGAAGATGACCCTGAGTGTCACCTGATTCTCAGGGATTCGAGTCAGTTCGAAGTCAGTCTGCAATCAAAGTGATGCGTGACCTTGAAGAACCGTTGTGGATGCGCAGACTGGATACTTTCGAGGAGTCGAGAGGGAGTCCTGCACCATACTAAACCAAGTCTAAGGACCCACAATTGGCACTTTTGACGCCGTGCGACAATGGATTCGCAAGCCGATCGCAAGTTTGGACCCAAGGTATACTCAAGACAAGACATTTGACCCAAGCATAGTGAACAGAAGATATTTGCCCGAAGAAGTATGAGAGAGAGAGAGAGAGAGAGAGAGAGAGAGAGAGAGAAGTCGCTGGTAGAAGACAAACAGAGTTCAATTTTCCCTGTACTGTGCAAGTGACTTCGGCCGAGCCTGCCGACGGAAATCCGGAGGACCCACCACCACCTTACCAGATTCATCGATCCCGGTGACCTACAAGATGGCGAGGTCTCTGAAGACCGTACATCAAGTCTGGCAAGAATGGTCTGCCGGAATTCATGGTGGTCCCGCTGTGCGTAACCTCGAAGAAAGCCATGGCTCGACCTGGCGCAGCGCACCACCAGAAAAACGGTTTTTTTTCTTTCGGCGAAAGAGAATCATCGATCATATCATAACAACAGCTCAAGCGCAATGTATTACTCACGAGCAAGCGGTGTGTGCGCTCGAGGCACACCGAACACAGCACAAGCTTACACTTAATGCACTTAGCGACAGTCTAAAAGGAAAACTATAGATCACATAAAGAAGTGCACAATCGGTAATACATCGTTGTATATCATCGCCACAAAAATTTCGGACGTACACTTGCACCCCACCTTGCGTGCCC